TTTTTTTTTTTTTTTTGCAGTTATTTGATACTAACTCAGCACTGTAAGCCGAAATATTAAAAAAGAAAAAAAAATATTAAATGAACATCGTAGCTCGCGGAGTTAATTAAAAAACTAATATTAAATTATTTCATAGGACAAGAGTAATCATTAGAAAGATGGAGCGTGTTGTTTGCGCGTCCGAGCACGCGAGTGTTTGCAAACAGTTTGTTACTTTTTCCTTTTAGTAAGATAGCTAGATTTTGGAATCGGACCGCTCCCCGAGTACAATTTCGAGCTCGGGTTGGCGCTAGAATACAATCTAGAGCTCGGACTGTTTGCCGTGTGTAGTCGCGAGCTGGGACTGGTCGCAGAATACAGTCTCGAGCTGGGGGTGCCTGTCAAGTTCAGCTTAGAGCTTGGGCTGCTGGAGGAGAACAATCGAGAATTCGGATTGGTTGATGAGTACAAACGCGAGCTCGGGCTACTTGTAGGGTAGAGTTTCGAGCTCGGATTGTAGGTGGTCTTTGAGCTTGGCAACCCGGTACTTGGGCTTGACGTTTGATAGGACTTTGTGCTCGGACTAGTAGTCGTTTGGTGGATCTTTGAGCTTGGGCTCGATGCTTGGTAGGATTTCGTGCTCGGGTTACTCGGCTGGTGTAAATTTGAACTTGCACTGCTCTTTGTTTGCTGTGCTTTCGAGCTCGGGCTACTACCAGTCTGTTCTGTTTTCGAACTCGGGCTTCTAACAGCTTGCTCCGATTTAGAGCTCTGGCTACCCGTCGTTTGCAATTTTGGGCTTGGACTACCCTGTTTTGCATGATTACCGACTCCTTCGTCATCCGTGGGCGTGTATCTGTAACTTGAAAAATTGATCACTAACCATTACAAACCAATTTTTAGTTTTACTTCCACTTAACTAAAGGTCACTGACTCTATGAAGAAAAATGGTTAAATTAGCGCAAATAAAGCTTCATATTATCATTATTTAATTGAAATGTATGTCAAGTTCAAAGTTACTTAATTATCAAGTACCACTTAAATCGTCAGATTGGGGAGTCCAGAGCTCGAAATCAATACTTGATCAGGGGCATTCTAATTGTTAAGATGTAATCATACAAATTCACACATCATTACACGATCTATTTGTTATGTTTATCCTTTTTTTTTTTCTCTCTGAATGAGCCTTGTATGTAATGAGCTTTTTAAGCATAAGCTGATGTGGACCAATATAAAGCTTTGTTTGCAAAAAATAAACCATCCTTTATTTATTTGATTAAGTCATTGTGTAGCCCATGACCTTTGGTTATTACAAACAATTAGCAAAAAGTTGGAAAAGAAAAAATTAATAATAAAAAAAAGAATTATGGTTAATCAAGTTTTAGCGGTTAGTAATGAATTTTTAAGTTTTTTTGTCGATGTAGCCGTAGCTTTACGGAACTATACCACAAACGCCCTAATCACAGCCATCCGAGCTATATTAATTCTTGGTTATTTTTTTGGCTCTTACATACGCAAGTAAAATTAATCATTATAGAGGCTTTCTAAAATCAAAAAAGCAGCTACGCTTGAATCAGTCTGTTGCAGCAATATCTTCGTCGGCGGTAATATTTCTGCCTAGAAATACGCTACTGCATTGTTCTCTTGAAGTTAAAAAAAAAAAAAAAAAAATTTCGCACTTTATTTTATTATTTTTTTTGGACACTTAATGTTTCGTGATAAAATTAAGGTGTTGTATCAAACAAACCAATTATTGAGCGAAGGGGTTACTGTGGCTATTGATGTAAAATTTTGGTTAATCAATTGTACATCGATTGCAGCTGTTGATTAATTTAGATGTAGTTTCACATTTAGAGCAGCGGATTTGAAAAAAGATACAAATAGTTTTATTAAGTCCTAAGTTTGACGAATTAATAACAAAAATTTTTAAAAAAAATTTATTTGTACGCTATAGGCACTCCATTCTCCGTCTTGGACTTGAGGACGTCGTTCTCGTAGGACATAATAGTCTCTTTTCCATTCTCGTAGACTCTGAAACGAAAAAAAAAAAAGACAATTCATCAGCACAAACGAAATATCCCTTTCAATGTGAATTGAACATGTAAGTAAACTGACTTTTTGGTGGTGATCTTTTTGCCGTTGATGAACCTCGTGGACGTACTCGTTCGCTTCATTTCCCGGGGCCCATTGTTGCTGGGTCCTCCGAAGCTTGCGCAGGTGCTGAAGGTAGTGCAGTTGTTCATGCCAAAGCCACCACCGAAGATATCGCCGAACGCCGAATCAAAGTGTCCAAAGGGCGAGAAGAACGAGGTGCTTATGCTGTTGCCGGCGTTTCGATTCCTGTGCCCTCGCGAGTGCCCGTGCAGATCTGCAAGGAAAAGACACATATTAATAAAATCTGCTAGATGTCAAATCGCCCGCGACCCTGTGGATCATTCATCATGTACGCACATGACGAGTGGCGAAGGCTTTAGCGACAGTTATCGCCTACCGAGCACAAATTAAATTCCTGCGCTCGCGGCTCGTTGCGCAGCCGGTTATTAATAGCGCATAAAATCGAAGGTGGTTTTGTCTCTCTTTATAGTTGTTATTAATTTTTTTTTTTTTTTTTTCCTTTTTCAATCGCATGATATGTACTTTGAGTACAATTGTAGAATAGAGTGAATTCTCAGCGATAGAGTATAATATTCTCGGGCGGTGACCGGTACCTGTCGCTTCATCAAACAACATTTCCCAAAGATTTATCTCGTGGGCTACTTTGTTGGCCCCTCCGTGCTACGTTTTAAAAGACTCATCTTTTTTTTCTTTTCTTTCTCAGTCGACTACTTATGGGTCACGAATATTTTTTATGGACGAACCGTAAGAAGAAGAGAAAACCCCACAAATATTATGCATACTGACCGGCAAACAAGTCGAAGGGCGAGTTGCCGCCAAAGAACTCCCTGAACACGTCCTCGGGATCCCTGAAGACGAACGGGTTGAAGTTGAAGTCGAAGTCCTCCTCGTGACGTCTCTTGCCACCCGGCATCTGCAGACCCTCTTTGCCGTACTGGTCGTAAACTCGTCGTTTTCGCTCTGCAGAAGAGGAAGAAAAAAAAAAAAAAAAAAAAAAACAACATGTAAACGAGTTAATGGAAAACTGGTCTGGTGATGGTTACTTTTTCTTCACTCGCTCATTCATTCCCTCTCCGCTCGTCCCTGCGTTCGCTCGCAAAGCTTCGTAAAACCCATTAAGTACGAGGGTGTGTGTAGTACTCCAGTTTATCACTCTGAGAGGCCCTTTGGGTATATATATATTTCTTGAGATCGAGATTCGACAAAAACACTTGAAATGGATAATCTTCCGATTAATAGGTCATCGTAAAAATTTCACAGAAGGTAAAAGAAAAAGAGCCTCTCAAAATTGGAAACAGAAAAAGTACAAAACGTTATGCAGCAGCCTATAATACGTAGCGTTAGCTCAACACACATGGATCAGAAAAAAAGGTGTGAGTACTCATGTTAGAAAGAAAATTCGACGGAGAGCTCATGATTCATTACCAGGAAAGCTGTCGGGGATAAGAAATCGCAAGACGATATTGTTATTGTTTGCGCGTTTTTTTGTTCGCACCTCGATTTAAGCGCAGATAATTTTGCATCAAACATTGCAAGGCGACGTTATTATTAAGGCAAGCGATATAAACTAAAGCGTCCACCTATTGGGGCTTATCTCGATGATTCTTCGATATAGATGTGTGTCAATACATATAAAGGCAACGATCGATAATTTAACACTATCGTTTGAGGAAAACAAAAAAATAATAATTAAAAATTGAAAAGCAGATAATCTGATCGATTATCCAACAGAGTTCGAATTTTTATTATTTACACGTAATGAAATAAAAAGCGATATTCACATGACATACATTTCTAAATATTGTTCATTTTTTGTTATACCTTCAACTATTATAACAAAATAATAATTAATCAACAACAGTGGTGGTTGGGATTCACACGCTTACATTAATAGTAACAGTAGTGAGCGCTTGTTGCGAGCTGTCAGATCTTATANATTGTTTACTTTTCTTTCCCCTACTAATTCACGGCTCGGATTACTCGTCGCTCCCAGATAACCTGCTCCCTGTGTTCATTTGTTCGACGTACGCGAGATTATTAAATCCGTAATTGCCGCGCCGCTGCGTTGCAGTTATGCGTGTATTATATCCTGTGGGCAGGGTTTGGAAAGTGATTTCATCGAAAGACGAACCCCTCGACCCGTATACTCCGATTATGGGAAAATTATCATTTTCTAGCGTGTATTTTTAAGTCGTAGTGGCGAACAGTTCGATTCGTATCCGGTCTGGTGTGTGGTACGACTCTCGTAGATTGCCTCCCCAAGAAACTTCTGATCCGCCGCAAACTCGGCAAAGTTCAATAGCGGGAATTAGGCATTGCGTGCAGGAGCCAAATTCGAGTTTGCCTCCTTCGGTTGTACATCAGTTTGCCGCGCTAATGGCATGCATTAACGAGCGTTTGATGAAAGCAGATGGGGACACGCCCATACACGAGAGCTGGTACAGTCCCACTGGTAAGTGCACCGAGAGATCGTTTGTCGAACCTAAAGTAGGTGCGCAATCGCGCCGTTAAAATCGAATTAAAAGCCAATGATCACCTATTATTTATTGATTTTTTAAAGTAGTTTTCCCACTTCTTTTCGAGGAGGAGATTCTGTTGCATAACGAGAATCAATTGATTAACCCAAATTCATTACGTACTGATGCAAAAGTTTCAGGGACACCTAATTAGTTTCCAATATAGGTATATACGTATAAGACCCTCGGCCTATGCGGTGTCACGCGCTGGTCCGTGGCTATCGTGGCCCAACTGATCATCCAACGAGGAGACACACGCGTTAACTACCCTCGTTATGCTACCGATCGTCCCCCGTCGTACCGTAAAATTTTAATTGTATGCTAATTCGGTTGTTTATTTTATATCACATACTATCAGCTGGATGTCAGCAAACTCGTTGTATAGGGTATACAAGTTGATACATATAAACTAGCGACGTTACACGAGATGCCCGTGTTTTCGTTTCCATCCCAGAAAATAGTGAAAAATGCTTCGTCGGATCATTACTGTATATACGCAAATGAATCGTGCTTCGCGATTATATTTATCACTTGCGTGTGAAATCAATGTGAAATGAAATATGTACATCCTTTTTCCGATACAGCCCGTAGTACACCAATGCATCAAATTTAATAAAACTCAATTAATTCAAGTGCTCGGCGTTGGAAAATTAATTGAGCCCCATTATACCTATGCGCTCCATTACTGCGGAAATAATCGATTGATTTTTTTTTTTTTTTTTTTTTTATTATTTTACTCCACTTTTTTAAAATTTATCGGGACGCGCTGGTGATAAAACTAGTTCGTGTGCGCGGAACAATGGAGTTTAATGTATAGTGTGGAATTGTAGTCGTTTTTAGTCTACTTTTACGCGAATATGGTGTATTGTATGCAAGAACGCGAGTGAAAGTTGCACAGGAATTTATTGGAGATACGTGTAAGTAATGGCGTAACAAAAGCGCACTTTTTTCCCCCCCTAAATTAGCCGCTGTTAACGCGCCGATCGAATATGTAAGAGACTATATACGTTGAGGGCAAATTGGGGTTTACTTTTGTTGTGGCTTTTTACTCTCTTTTACGGGAGAAATTTTATTCGCGCTTTCTCAACACCGCGTGGCTCGTTGACTCCAACTTGTGTGATTCCGCAATGGATAACGCAATTGCGTGCAATTTGCACGTGCAAAAGCGCAGAGAAACTGTTAACCACGGACTAATCAAAAATTCATCGAAGAATCGAGGCACGTGTAAAGAAAGATACATATTTACAAGTGTCCGAACACGTGACTGCAGATCTGTTACCCGAGCAAATTTCACCGTGTGCGCTGGATGTATAAGTATATACTTTTACAGAGAGACGACAAATTTCACGAGGCCATAACATACCCGAGCCGTCGTTTCACTTTCATTTTGCATATTAGGTAAGTATACTTGTGGTACCGATAAAGTACGGTCAAAATATCAACAGTGCCCCCCCCCCTCCCCCGCGGAGAGCTGAACTTTCTCTTTCTCGAATTGCATGCACTACCGGCAAATTTCTACGTAACGCGTATACGTATAAGCGAACAGCTTCCTGTTGTACATTTACACTGTAACTCATACATACCGTATCACTTACGTTTTATAATAGTTGTAAGAGGGAAGAGTGTAGAAGATGAGGTTTTTTAGTAGTCGTGCTCTGCATCGATTTGTTTATTGGCAACTTTGCAAAGTGGTGGGTAAGATGTAAGAAGCAACTATATTATATGTGTTGCACTGCAAGGACGCGTGGAAGAAGAAGCCTTCTATTATGTTTTCTAAAGTGCTCTTTGAGTGGCTACACAAGAATAAAGCAAAGTGCGCGCGTCGCGAAAGGAATTTGA